CTCTTTTAATTAAAAAATTTCTCTTTATAAAATGTAGACATAGAAAAATAATTTATAAAATAAAGTTACAAAGGGTCAATTTCAAGGTCAGGTTAATTTTTTTTAATAGAACGTTGTATTTAAAAAAAAAAAGAAAAACACCACGTATCACAATATTAATTAATATTTATACAAAATTTAACCTTAATATTTTTTCCAATTTCTTTTTCTTCTTACACGCCGAGAGTACCTACTCGTAGGTTAAAAAGAATTGTCCACGTTGTACCAGAGTACGTTTCTAAACTATTCCGCTGCAATTTCGTCGCAGTTAAAGGGTGTCAAGAAATTCGAGAGAAGATAAACCTTACGGTTCGTCTTTCCCTCCTTAAGTCGATTAAACGTTGAACAATTTTCCGCGACTTCTCGTGACGGACGTTTTAATGAAAAAATTCAGCCAGGTGACATAGTTGAAAAAGTGGTGGATTGTAACGAAATTTGCGCGAATTTACTTTCTCACCTGGCACAGCGGATTATTATCCTAATGGAAGTCTCTCACTGTTAGGATCGCGAGTGTGAAAGGTCCTCTCATTGACGTCGTAGATTACGTTTCCGTGTAGAGGCGAACTCGAGATGAGAATCGAAATGGGAAACTGGGTTATATCCCGGGTTAGCCAAGACGTTGACGAACTTTGAAATTGCGACGCGTTGTAATTTAACTTAGTCGCGGGGAATTTTATTCTTAGCTTTATAGCGGCGAGAAACGTTTATTGTTTTAAAATCTATCATTGTCGCGTATCTCCGACCGATCTCTTTGTCAACGAAGTGACTTTCTTTCTCCGACGATGAAACTTCTTCTTACAAAGTGAAACGTTCGTTGAGGATTCGAAAGTCTCAGTTGTTAAATTGCTATCTCGAAAATTTGAGGATTAGAAAATTTAAGATTTTTGAATTTAACGGGTTCTAAATTCTTTTAAAGGGGACAAATTTTATTTTTTATTAAATTGCTGTTTCAGAAATGTTTAGACTTAAGAATTTCCCGAATTCCGCATTTTTAAAGAGGATAATCTTCAAATTTGGTGTACACTTTTATAGCCTCATTTGATCAATCACAGAGTTTGTATAACGAATATTAAGTTTACGATACAAAAATATATAGGGTGTCTTCTTTAACTGGATGCAGTGTAATATCACAGAAGTAACTGAAGCTTTCGAAAAAATTTAAGTTCTCATAAAAGTGGTTTGATACGACGAGGGAGATAATAAATAGTATTTTCGTGAATGAAGTAGTGGGAGAGAATTGAACACTGCAGAAGACACAAGAAGGTAGAATAAGATCGTAATAAAGGAGCAAATAAAAACTAAAGAAACTTTCTGAAACAGTAGAGATTGAAGGAAAAACGTGAAAAGAGTTGAAGAAATGTGAAAACATCGAAGAAAACATGTACTTACCTGACAATGTGTTTGTGCCTCTCTACCCAATATTTGATGGCACTTCTGACCAACATCTCCTGTTTCTGTGTCAATCCATTTGGTCCTACACCGCCGTTAAAGGTCGCGCCAGCAGTTGCCCGGAAGGTAGTCGTGTAATCTGTCCTGTTGCTGTATATTCCTCGAAGATCCATGTCCAGCATATTATCGGTTTGAGGATGTGGCGTGGCTGGCGGTGGTAGATCTTGATCCTTCCCGTGATCCATGTTCGCACCGGCCTGAACAGTAAACCGATTACCAATTGAAAAAAACCATCGAGATGTAACGTTCTACCTACTTGAACATTTTAGTGCTTTCTATCGCTATAGTTTATTTATTTTAACTATTAATTTGTGTAATTAATAATTACTTTGTAAAGAGGATAATATAGATTTAGTTTTAAACTTCGAAGAGGAGAAATTGATTTCTGGGAATTTCGTAAAAAATTTTAAATTGTTTTAAAACAACTTTACCTATCAGAATTGTAGGGAACCGACTATGGAAAAATATTTGAGGGACCCAACACGGGAATCGAACTCGGGGACCTTAGGCTTATAAGTAAGCCGAAGCTTTGCGCGCTACGCCAACCACTCCCTCCCTATTCTCCCTTCGAGGTTTCCTATTTGGGTATGGAGGCCCCCGGTACTACACTCGGCCATCCTGAACTGACAATAGCCCTCGAATGTCCTCGGTGCAACACAACTCAACACTTTCGGGTACACTCCCCCACACAGTGGCACACAGCCGAAACAACGCATTTTTGGGAGACGTGCAACCCTCGAGATGTTTTCATCGCACATCCTCTGGCTTCGTGCAGCCGTAGATGCCTCCATCCCGGACGAGCCCCCATATGTAGGAATCGACGATGGAAAAATATTTGAGGGACCCAAACGGGAATCGAACTCAGGACCTTAAGTCTTAGCAAGCCAAGGCTTTGCGCGCTACGCCAACCACTCCCTCTCTATTCTCCCTTGTCAGTTTCCTATTTGGGTATGGAGGCCCCCGATACTACAGAATTGAAGGACTGTCGTAGTTTTGTGTGCTGTTTCAGGAAATAGAAGAGAGATCTTAATTTGTTTTAGGTCGAAGCTTAGATTTTTTAATCTGCCTATAATGTTCTATAATTTTATTAAAATTTGATGTTAATTTAAACCAAAAAATTTTGCCCGAAATGTAAATAGAAAATTGTTTCGATTTTATGTTTTAAGTTTAATATATTCGGTATTGAAATTCAAACTTACTTTAAACAATTCTCCACTGTTTGGTACAACAGTGTCCAGGGTCGCGCTGAATTCCATCAGTGGTTTCATGATATTCTTTAGATGCTGAATTTGTTCACAAGCGAAGAGGAGCCACGAACAGAACAGCACGTCTAGGAGATTCGCGTCTGCTATGGTAAATATCAGCCAGTAAAGTTGGAATACTAACGTAAGAATGTGAGCCATCCCGTGGCTGGGGTCGTACGGATACCAAGAACGCACCATCAATCTTGGTACCTGGTAAAAAACAATAGAAAAAGCATATTCATAATAAAAATTCTTCATAGAGCAATTTTCCTTTATTTCGTACTATCGTCTAAATTCGAGACGAATGATTCACTAAAACTTTTCTCCTATAAAATTTCCAATTTTAGAATTAAAAATTTTTGCTCACTTCGTTTCATCTGTGTCACAAGAATTCTATTATCACATAACTTCTATTACTATATTTCTATTGATTTATTTTATCGTTAGTTATTTTCGTTAATGTTTAATTTCGGCTAATAAATAGATTAATGTAATAAATAGATATATGTATAACATTCGCTGCTATTCGCGGTTTCAAGTATCCATGGAAGATCTTAGAACTTATCTTCGCGGATACGAGGGTTTCGCTGTACTATGTTATACTAATTAATTCCTATAAAAATGTTATGCGAATTAATTGGTTCCTGGCGACCGTTTGTAAATCTGAAAGTTTGTTCTAAATAATCAATACATTACATACTGCGTGATTCCCCGTACAATATAAAATAAAAATTCCAAAGCACTTTTCCGAGAAAAAATACAAAGAAGAAAATCCAAAGAATTCCTGAAGTGAGAATTAAAAATTCCGATCCAAAAAATCCATCAAGACGAAAATTCGTAAAGTGAGTTTGACCTGTATATAGAGATAAATAATTTCATTACCTCGACAAAAGAGGTTTCGTTGGTAACAGGATCGACGACCTTCTTCACGGAATCACCGATGAACGTGATTGTGGTCCAAGAAATGACGGTGAGCACACTGGTTCCCATGACGGCCATCAACAGTATTCTCATTTTTTTCACAGCAATCTGATGATAACGCGCGTTACTCTCGGCGAACAGAGGATGGCTGTTCGGATTATTCCAAATACCGAAGGTTCTGTAGAACAACTTGCTCCTGACGGCGAAATAACCGAGCTTAACCACGCTGTGCGTGAAGAACAGCATCGTGATCGTGTTCGCCGTCAGTTCGTCAACGTCGTCGCTCTCCAACATTAGGTTTATACCGCAGAATCCGAACTGTATTAGGATCAGTACTAGATGCACCTATGTATGGATCCAGTAGTTCCAGTTAATTTGCTTCTTGTTCGATTTGGTTTTTCAAGGTATCGGAAAGATTGACAGTGATTTTGAAAAATTGCTCGATTTAGAAAATTGTTGCAATGTTAATTTTGCATGGATTAGATCGTATAATTTATTCTTCGATAAAACGTTCGAGTACTTTGTTTATCGAGAGTAATACATATAAATTGCAGATATTATAGTATTGTACAGTGGAAAAATGTTCACTATGGCTAAACATTGTTTTCTTTTATGTTATTGACTCGTGCATTTCAATTTTATTCTAAATAAAAATTGCAAATGAATTTTTCTCTTTCTGTGTGTAACATTCCTTTGGTAAAATAATGTTTTGAGGATTAGATGAAATGAAAAAGGTAAACATACGTTCGAACGATTTTACTTACGATGCAGTAGATTTTGTGCATACCCTTCGTAGCATTGTCAGTGTAATAGTTGAACAAAAAATGCCCACTGGCTTTCATCAGCTTTATGTTGGGCATTAAGTCCGCGACTAGCCCCTGTTGCTTGAACTTCATCATCTGCGATGGAGAAACGAACGAATTGATACAAATTTCTTTGAAACAATTATCGACATTTCTTAAATTGGTAATTTTAATCGCCTTTAATCTCGATCAAAGATCAAATCTTCAAACAGAAACCTAATCCTTGATAATTTCAATTCTGGGAAATAATTGCTGGCAAATGTCATTGGTGTCACCAAAATGATAAAATTTGGGAAACAAATCGTTTGAATGGCAAAGAAGTGAAACACGAGAAGACATTTTTTTTAAGGATATAGCGAGACACAAGAATATCGTACGATTAATAATTACGTTAATTTTTTCATATTGAAAACGTCGGTGAAAAGAATTGCTGAAAAGCTAACTTCCAGTTGTACAAAAAGGTGACACTCTATGCATGAATATTGGTTATCATATTAAACTAAAGTCAAAGCAAGAACTTTAAGCCCCTATTCCTATTCATAATTGGACAAAGGTCAAGTTCTTTATCATTAATGTATGTTCATTGAAACTTTTTCAAGTGCTCTTTATGGTATTTCATACGACGTTAGAACTGCGTATCGTTTCAGCTGATTTAAACGTGAAACACTGAATTTTTTGTATGCCGTTTTCGGAAATATTTCTACTTTGATAACGAACGAACGGAACAGAAGAATATAATTTAATCGCTGATGTGTATCGTAATTTTTCGCATTTGAAGTATAATTAACGGACACCATGTTTAATTTCACATTTGTCGATTTTGTAATTTGTCATTGAGTAAAGTATAAAATAATTAAAGAATGAAATAAACATCCTCCTTTAAAGTTAAATTTAACAGATTTTCAAGTTTATTTTTCTTATGCTTTATAACGATTAATGTAATGAAATAAGGGTAATTAGTTGATTATAATTGATATCTGCGTATCAAGGTAAACGCGGTATTAAATTTCTTGCAAAAATGCAATTTTCACATTTGTGATCCATAACTGACATAGTATAGTGATATCATACTTTTCAAGAGTAGTATGTAATGATAAAAAAATTCTAAAGATTTTTTTAGAAAAGTTTAAAAGTTAATAATTTACCGATGACTATCATTTTACTATTTGTTGCATGAAAGCTTCGAAATGAACAATTTCTATCGTCACCTGAAATGTACTATTGCACATGTTTACGATACAAAACATCAATAAACTACGTCCAACCGCTAAAATTTTCCGATTGAAAGTTCGTCAATTATAATTACTCGAGGAAGCTTTAATTTTTTATCAGTCTTCGAATCGATACTTCATTTAGTTATCCTTGAGCTTGTATTACGTAGAAAAACTTTCGACTTTTAGGCTGTAACTTAACCAAAGTTTAATTTCATCAAAGTCGTTGAAACCTTTTCAAATTGAACGAAATTGCTTAATTTCTTAAATTACCCTTTCTTTTAACATTTGCAAAAATGTTTAAATAGAACGTTTATGAAAAAATCTTATTGCAATTTTTCATATTACTGTTGTTTTAACGCGAAACATTCTGTAAGAATGTTAAATATGAATTATCGAGCAAGCGTTTTTAAATAAATTCGAAATTAAGTTCCTAAAATTTGCCGATTAATTGTGCTTGCTAATAAAATTGAACGATTGACAAAAACCAATTTACCGTTGTAAATTACAGTAATTCTTAGAACGCTAAACGAGATTCACCACTCTGGCTACCTAACCGCAAATTACATCAATTCCCTTGCGAATACAAGTAAAAGCACCGCGAATAATCATCCCTCTTGTTTTCCAGAAGTTGTAAAAATTTTGTACCTAGCCACAAGTGGAACAACGACAAACGATTGTTTTTCTGATTGCACTAACTTTTCTGGGATTGTAAATAGAATAACCTAACCGTGGATAATACGTAATTATTACTTGCAGACCGCACTCAACGACAAGTTCTATTGTCTTTTGCAAATTCGATCGATTATGAACGATAGCAAACCATCTTTCATTAATAATTTTACTTTAATTAATAGTGTAAATTATGAGAATTTTTTTATCAGAAAGAACAAAAATTCTTACATTATACTTTTTCTTTACTAGAAATGACAAAAATTCTTAAATTACGGTGATTTTTTTTGCTAGAAAAGTTAAAATTTTTTATGTGTAAAAAGCATATCATTTGAGTAGTTAGTACTGTATTTTTTTAGAAAGAATCTTCTAATCTCTTATCTATTCTAGGAATATTCTAATTCTGTATATATTTTAATACTGTAATTATTAATTAGGTATATAAGAATATCAGTTCTTGACTCAATCGTAAATAAAAATATTCACCTCAGATCAGGCACTAAAGTTACTTTACCTAAAGTTGTCTCTTACCTTCCAAGAAACTACATATGTTTCATATGCATTACTCTTCAATTTAATTACAATCCTCGAACTATTTAACCTACCAAATGAAATGTTACCCAATTATTTTTCATCATAAAGGAATAGCTGGAACCTAATCTAAAACACTTCACAATTAGATCACGACTCAGGAATCATCAAATCACAGAATAAAAACGCCCACCCTATCATCATCAAGAATACTTATACATTTCCTTCGTGAAAAATCGACAGGTCAAAAATCAACCCTAAAGCTACTCTCCCCAAATATATCAAAATCCCAGAAAATCTCGAAAAACCCTAAGTTACACGTCGAACGTCAACTCTGCAGCTACCCTTCGCCGGGAAACATGTGTGACACAAAACCATCATACTCAATGATCTCATCTAAATCACTTTTAGATCCAGTCACGATCTCAAAGGACATCGACCGATGGACCACCGATCTTCTCTGCTCTATTCTCTCACCTTGAGGCGGGTGAGCGGTCACGCGGTTCAAATCCACGACGAAACGCGAACTCCTCGCGCGTTCGCCGAGAGGATCGCGTCACGAGCAGCCTGGGGCACGCGTTTATCGAGGAAAACTGAAAACAGCTCGTCTGGGGGTACCTCTTTGTTTCTTCTCTTCTTCCCACCCTCTAGCCACCTGTCGTCACGGTAAAACCCCTCCAGCTAGACGGGGTACCAAACGTGGACCAATCGCGGCGAGGACACCGAGGCGCAGACGCCGCTGCTAGTCGACTCGTCGTGGCCATGTTGTTCCTTGCACCGTCGGCACGGGGCTTTGTAATCGCATCAATTATTCAGATTTCGACGACTGCAACAGCTATCGCCGCGGGAACAGCAGAGGCGAGGGGTGACACTTTCCGACCGATAAGAAGGTCTTGAACACACTTATTCTAGAAACTTTGCATACGTTGTCGCTATTCCCTCGGATTTCCCCGTGGAAATGTTTGCCCATGATTTCAGGGATCTTTTGGTGGATTTTTTCAGGGAGAATCTTGACCACCCTTCACGAGCCTGATTCAGCGTGCTTTTCTTGTAGTATCTTAACCCTTTCGTGATTGATATGTATGTTTTCTTTTGAGAACTTTTTGTTTATTTACCAGTCACGGGTACTAAATTGAGATGAATTTTTGCACATGTGTCCCACTGGTCACAAAAAGGTTGAGATATGTATGATGAGTTGTTTAGTGAATTGAAGTTTTTGTAGGTAACGATGGATTACTGTTTTTAGAGAAACAAAAAAATTATAAATTGGAATGTGTTGTACTTCTTTTTACAAATGTGATCGGTGATAAATTAGGGTGAGACTATGTGGAAGGTTTGGTATTTGAGGGATTAATTAGTGAATCTTTTAGGGACAATTTTGAGTACTCTTCAGGAGTCTGGTTTGCCCTGTTTTTTTTTGTAATATTTCAAGATATGTACGATGAGTTGTTCAGTGAATCGTAGTTTGTAGATTTGGTATTTGAAAAAGATTAATTAAGCTCAGAAGTTGTTTCCCTTGGCGGTTAGTTTACTTGGAGATCGTTTGGGATTCGATTTTGTTTGACTGCTAATTCATTTAGGAATCGATTCATTTGGTAATTAGGGATAGCGAAGGGGTAGTTTGAGATCTGAGAATTATAGGATTACTGTGTTCATTTTTAAGTAGTATAGATAAACGAATACCACTGTCTCGTTGACATTCTACTGAAAGATGCAGAACATTTTTTTTATAACAGTGGAATTGGTTCTTTTAGGATTTTATAGGGTTTTCTTAACAATTTCGTAGCATCACATTGTTCTCGTTAAAATAATAGGCTGAAGTAGTTTATTACATTATCAGAAAGAATGAAATTTTTTGCTGCGAAGCTGAAATCTATGGAATATTATATTCCACTCTTGCTGCCGTATCGATGGCGAACATTAAAGCAATTTTAGCTATAGCCTACGGATAACCTGTTTGTTTTATTGACATAAAGAAAATTTCTTTGACGGCGAATGCAGCAGAGAATATGGAGCAAAACGTCTTCGACATTTATTATGTCACTCGTTACATAGAGTGTCTTTGTCTTGTGAAAATCGCAGAAGCTTTTTCACCGTGACATTCCCTAAATTGAACGAGTTGAGGAACCAGGCCTGTAGAACATTTTGTCTCGTGGCCACCAGACTCACCCAATCGCATGATTAGCTGCAAGTCAGTTTCTTCCTCCTTTCCGCATTTAAGCTACAGTGCTTCATTTTTAATGCCAGTTTGCACCAGATATTGTGAGATATGTAGGATATAAGCGTTAGGATACTGTGTAGAATATAAGCTACGTGTTATTTTGTAAGATATTTAGATATAATAGGTGTGCTTGTGACAAAAGTCGAGAAAGTTTGGTAGACATTATGTATTAGGTGTTCTGAGCAAACAGATGCAGCCAGGAGTCACCTTCTTGTGCACCACTCTTCTGTCACTAGTCTGACGAGCAAACGCAATTGCGTTTTGTCTTGACGAGATATACGGTCCCTCATCGGGCTGAAATTTCGTACAAGCGTTGGTATACTCATTACCACCTCTAGAAATTGAAACCCACGAGAAAAAATACTCACGGTTAATGAGGTGCAAGTCGCTGGAAAGTGAATGAACTTGCCTAACGGAGGTACACGCGAAAGTTTGAGACTCCAAAATTATTGGAGAACACTAATTGTACTTACTAAAGTCCAGCGAACTGTTTCCCTATCCAGCTTCTCATCAGCTCCATTACCGCGGAACTTGGCAGAGGTACCAATTGGGAAAACGGAATCTGAATGGAGTTTAGACGCTCCAATCCGAGCCTGTTTATTTGTTCCCCAATTTCCGGTTATTTTAGAATGGTCTGCTACCAATACCAATTTCACGCAATTGTTACTACTGTGACGGTACCTTCTATACTCCACCAGAGATGGATTAATTAAACTTTCTCATTAGTCCCCGCTAATATACAACCGGAAAGGGGTGAATCTATGTAAAGAAATGATTCGAAAATGTAGAGTAGAAGCTTCATTTCTGAATAAATCAACGTTGAAGACTCGCGAAGAACGTGTATACTTGCACATGATCTCATGTATGCCTTCGTCTAACAGACATCATTGCAAACTGCACATTAGGCAGTGAAGTTTCCCGTTCCTTTTCTACCTATCATCTTATCTTTGTCTATTCCAATCGTATAAATACAGACCGTTTCATATCCTCGAAAAGGAAAAAAATGTTTCCTCAGCAAATATCATTGTCAACACAATTGTTTAGCCGATGTCAACACAAAGGCTATCGGATTAAATAATGAAGGACTGTCGACTGTGTTCACGTAAGGTACGTCTATCAGTAATTCACCCTATAACCCTCCTTTTAAGTCAATACACAGCGTGGCACGTTTGAGAAACACACATAGGTCACTCAATAAACCACAGCTGTCCTATTTAAGCTTCACTGTGTCATATATTTTGTACGAACGTCCGTTTGTTACTTTTGCTTCAACAGAAGCAAAACATATGTGTCAGATCAATAGTCTTCCAAATAATCGTCTTCAATTTCGTTTCTCTCGCGGAAGAAAAATTTTTTTCAACGATTAATACTGTAGGGGATTTATGTGAGGAGGGATAGTAAACTTGAACGGACTTTGTTCTATACTATATTTATTAATATTAGATATCGCTACGTGCTACGCTAAGGATATCGCTCAATCAATCGCTGGATTCATACTGCCTTTCGCTCCCTCGCATTCGCCCTAATGTCATCTTGCATACATGCACACTTTTCGTTAGAAGAAAACACACACGCACTCACGCACTCCTCGCCTGATTACTAAAACTAAACATTCGTTCAATATCTTTCGCGCTATCCCAAACACTCGACCTGGCACGCCGGTCCTTACCGCTCCGGCCATAGACCCTCACGCATTCACACAGACAACGCATTCATACAAACAACGCACTCACGCTCGGTCATCCCTACAATACCTTTTTTTTAAATATTGGTTGTGCAAATAATCTTTTCGCATTTGCATATTTACACGAATAGTATTGCAAAAACGGCATATCTGTCGGTAATTTTAGAGTGTGTAATCGTCCTCTCGATCGCAAACTGGGAAGCAAATCCCAAGAGCTGTTATCTAGGTTACCTTATAGATGCTCATACATGCTTATTATCAAGCTTACCTCGAGCAACCTTGACACTATTGCAGTGATCACAGTGGAATCAGGACAGTGTTGCAGCTATGATTAATTAAAACACCTTTTTCTGAAGTATTCTTCTTTTTCGAAGCACAGAGAAAACTGTTTTCACTGTTCGCCGAATTTCTCTCGCAAAGGTAAAGGAACTCCATTTTATATGAATTTTTAAAGTAAAAAATAGTTTCTATACTGCAACGTTGTATTTTATATTATAAAAATCAGAATTGTTTAGATATATTTTAAATGTACGTGTATCCAGAAATAATCTTTGCTCATCGAGAGAAGAAGCTTCAGAGACATCGATGCCGGAAGTGGAGCGAAGATTAATCTCGAATAAAACGAATACAGTTGTGAAGAATGTTTAGAATGTAATTTTAAGAAATATTGAATCTCTGTATAAAACGTATTACATTTTACAGTTTCAAGTGAAATATCACATAAAAATAACATGGTAAATGTTGAAAAGCTTTTTTATATTGAAATATAAAAATTTCATACAGTTTTAATATATTTTTAATACTTTTTAAAAAAGGTAAACAGTACTACTTGATACGAAAATAATAATACATATAAAATAATAAATATATTGAGCAGTTTCGTGTGCCATGAGAAACAAATGTCTCGTGCAAAATCGGGTTCTCTTTTGTTCACTCGACAACCGTGTTTTATTTGCCCTGTATCCATCAACTAGACGCTTTCTTTAAAGGAAAGTGAATTGACGTATTCACAGTTCGCAGAAGATTTTCAATTTGACGTTGGTTCTATAATTTTGAAGCAATTTGAACAATTGGACTTAACTGGCTTCCTGTTTGAGTTGTTTCGAGCATCTTTTGAAGATTGTTTCAAAGTAAGATAAAATTTCGAATTTTCGTTACTCAGTTGACATACATAAATCGATGCTTCTTTTGTAATGCGATAAAGATTTGTTTATTTCAGGAGGCAAAATGTTGCAAGAACGTTCCTTAATGATTCTGCTGGGCGCAATTATGGCGGTGGTGTTGCCTTGCTTTGCATTTATTCCAGAACGCTCTGGTAATGTTCACAGCAATTATCTTCTTTCTCTATATTAGTTATGCAATATTTGATGTGAATATTCCTGAGAAAAATTAATAAATGTTAACGACGACAATGGTAAATCTATTGAAAGATTAGTCGACTTGAAATTCTTCTTTAAGAAAATGTTTATGTATTTAATTAAGTAGAAAACGCTGAAATTAAAAAGTCAGACATACAAGATAGAATATTTTGTAAATTTCGATCAAGATCCGTAGTGTGTAAATCTTGCTTATATTTTTTAATTCATGCTACATTAAGTTCTCGAATTCTTATCACTGTTGTATCGTTTCATTTATATTACAATTGTGTATATTTTTTGAATATTATTAAATAGTGTTAAATATTGTGTACAAATTTTAAATATTCTAAAACGTGGTCGTTATATATATATAATACAATACATATAAAACAACTTTTGGCACCACATTAAAAAAGAATTAATATTATCTTCATATCTGTGTTAACTTTTCGAACATTTTCAGTGATCGTTCCAGCTTCTTGGAACGTGGTGCCGTCGTTAGAAACTGAGCAAAAGGTTACCGTGAACCATTCTTCCAGCAAGAAAACCGAAGTGACCGGAATCGATAAATCCTTGCAAATTTCGAACACGAAGTCGACGAAGTCTGTCGAACGAACCAGTCCCACGGATTCGACGCGCGAGAAAAGATTCGATTTCATCGTGGAGAACGTCGAAAATGATACGCATTTCGGTAAAACCAAGGATGCTGATCCTGTGAAAGCAAACGTGGCCGTTGAAAGCGTTAGTTCCACTCCACGGAATGTCATCATGATTATCGCCGAGCCGGATAAAGATCAAGAAGATTTCTGGAAGGATTTTAAAGCTACACACTCGTTTCCTGTTGAAGGAATGCTTCAGGTATGATTTTATGAAATATCAATTTAAATGATACATTTTCAATGTAAAGAATATATTTTTTGCAATATTCAGTGAAATATGAACTTAAATATTTTGAAGCTTTTTACCGTGGAATTTAGAAATAATATACACAATCGTCTATAAGTTTGGAGTTAGATCTCACCTTTGTTAATTTTTCTCTCAACGCGTGGTAATTAAAAGGGAATTTTTTTTTTTACGTAGAATGTAAACGAATATCAAGGAATATTTCGTAATTTTCAAAATATTTCTTTCAAGATGAAGCTCTCTTTTTATTTGCACGTAAAATTAAAACGATATTGGCCTTAGACCACCCAACCAGACGAACTGAAATTCTCCTGGGATGAAATCAGGGACAGGAAACTCGAATGTGAACACTTACTGCGTTCGAACATTGTAGTACTGTTGTCTTGGACATGGAATATTAAAGGAATGCCCACAGGTTCACCTAGAAAAAAAGAACAAATAACACCTTTCTCCTACATTCTTCGAATTTTAAAATTAAATTTCTATCATCTTCTTTACAAAATCCTTGCATAAATCCTTACCAGCATTGTAGCAAAATTTTTTACTTCCTGACTATTTTCAAAAATTTATTACCTTCCGTTTTTCGCGACTATTATAATTCATGGATTTCGAGTAGGAACATTATCCAACGGCAACTTCACTATTCCACCGATGTTCGGCTACGAAGAGTCAGCAGGACTTTCGAAAGATTTCGATGAACTCGAGGAGAGCAGCATGAAATCGGAGATTCGTAAACAGAAACGTGAAGGTCACAGTGATTGGCCTGTGATCGATTTGGGAAAACCGTATTATCGTGCTTCGCCGTTGACGCCATTAGCGAGCACCCGAGATGACGGTGACATTTTTATTTTACGCAATAATTTTACATTGCATTTTACATATGTAGTATCGGGGCCTCCATACCCAAAAATTGGAAACCGACAAGGGAGAATAGGGAGGGAGTAGTTGGCGTAGCGCGCAAAGCCTCGGCTGGTAAGCCGGAAGGTCCCCGATTCGATTCCCGTTGGGTCCCTCAATATTTTGCCGTCGTCGGTTCCTACATATGGGGGCTCGTCCGGGATGGAGGCATCTACAGCTACACGAAGCCAGGCGTTGTGAGATGAAAACATCTCGAGGGTTGCACGTCTCCCAAAAATACGTTGTTTCGGCTGTTGTGCCACTGTGTGGGGGAGTGTACCCGAAAAATGTTGAGTTGTGTTGCACGGAGGACATTCGAGGGCTATTGTCAGTTCAGGATGGCCGAGTGTAGTATCGGGGCCTCCATACCCAAAAATAGGAAACCGACAAGGGAGAATAGGGAGGGAGTAGTTGGCGTAGCGCGCAAAGCCTCGGCTGGTAAGCCGGAAGGTCCCCGATTCGATTCCCGTGTTGGGTCCCCTCAATATTTTTCCGTCGTCGGTTCCTACACATATATAAAATACTACTCGATATTGTTCTCTTTCTCTCACGTTCTCCGAAAATTTGAAATATTTTACCGCCAGTATAGATACGTACTACGAATAAGTTGGACTAAATTTCTATTGTGCTGTAAAAACAGATGAAGCTGCGTTGTACGTGTTCAACGTGTTCTCCAAGATGAGGCTCGTTCTGTTCCGATTGCTGGAGTCTCTTGGCGGCAACACAGGCACTTCGGAGGACTCGATTCGCACTCGCAAATCGCATCTGCCTCAATTCAATTTGCTGGACCTAGTGGAGAGACTGAAGTCCGCGGAAAACGAGAAAGGTTTCATATTGGTCGCCTCGCTGCCTGCCAGCGAACTCAATTCCGCCTTCGACTTCCTGCAGTACGAGGTAAATAATTTTACACGAGTCTGTATAAGCACCTTCAATTCGTGTGATACAATATTGTGGATCAATAGAGGGCACGGTATTGGTCGGAGATACGAGGACAAGTGACTTACGGTTGTATTTATTAAATAACGATTAAGGACCTACGGTGGAGTTCCAATAATCCGGATTATTGGACCACATTTTTATAGCGTTGTAAAAATGAGGAAAATAATGTAAAAGTAGCCATAATTAATGGAATAAAGTTTAATATTCAATAAATATTCAATAAAATTTTTAATTCAATATTTATTGACAAAAGTAAAATACATATACACAGTGTCCAATTTTAATCTATAAATGTGATTTAACTCTTAAACTACCTGCTGTATGAAAAATGGTTCAGGGAGGAATTGAATGGTTTCGGGGTAGACGTAATCTGGTGTGATTAGTTTTTCTGTAGATGTAAGAATCATAGAAATTTTAATGCATCAATCGACACAGATCTTTATTTCTTATAAAAGAAAAGTATCAAGGTATTTATGGAGATATATTAGTCTCAATATTGCAAAGTGTTTCTTACAAAATGATAGAAGAGCAATGAGACATCATTTCATTCAAGCATACAAGCATGCACTGACAATCAAAGCAACGTCATTGAACATTTCAACTTTTAAATAAATTCGTTACCTTCGATCTTCTGTTTCACAAATTCTTCTAATAAAATAACACACGAAATGATTCGAATTGGAGTTAGACTGGACGTAGGACAACGAACTGTTAAAATATCGATAATATGTGAATTAATTATGTTTCTATTAATTAGCGTGGTAATTTTAGGCATCTCACGATACTCTTCTCGTGGTGACTGGAGTTTGCACCCACGACGCGAAATCTGTGCCATTTTTCGCTCAAGGACCATCCGCGAAAACTCTTCGCGAGGCGACGACAATTTGGAATGTTCCTACAGTCATTAAGAATATCTTCGTGAACGGTTGTCAGGATTCGAATTGTAGAAATCGTCAACACAGCGTCGCACCGCTTCCCGTTCCTCAGATGATCATCCCGTACAATGTGGCCAACCTGAGGAGATCGTCTCGAGAAACCATCGCCAAACCGGTAAGAGAGTTCTCAGTTTTTATTGGAAAATTTGTGTAGGTTATACTTGCAAGAATTTACGTTGCTACGGTAAATAAATGACGAAATAAATAAATAGTGCGTAATAGTAGATAAATTGCAATAAACTGGCGGGAATTTGCATACTTATCTTTCGTCGTTGTTCGATAATCTTTTAAAACATATCGAAATAAGTTTGTTAACATTTTTTTTCTTGGGAGATTCTTCCTTACAAAATTCTCGGTACACTCCTAATTTTAATTAGTTATTAACACGAAGGGGGATATTTCTTGGTTGGACATATTTCAATGAAAAATATGTGAAAGCTAAGAATTTTACAGAATTGCTGTTTCTCCGAAATTGAACATTTTTTACGTGATTTGAAATTTCCATCGAATCTCTGTTGACTATTGCACAGCACACAGTGAATTTCTACACTATTGTTTATAGTTAATTCCGGTTCATTCGAGGGAAACTTTTGTGTAAGAAATAGGGCAGAAAATGTGGTATCGTTTGATGTTTACATATTTCAGGTATTACAGGGAAATAATTAGCATCGTTAAGAAATATTACGATAAGTAAGTAATAACGACAGTAGTTGATGAATGATAATAGTAAATATGAATAATAAAGATCGAGGAAAACCGTTCGGTGGTAGTTAGAGTCAAATTGACCCCTGTGACGATAGTTCTAAACTGTCCAAGAATACTTAATACAAACCATATACGAGTATAAATAGCGTTCTTCGATATACTGACCTAGACATTGAACCTGAGAAATAAAATTCCATGGTAGTTACTCAGAAAATTCAGATCGTTCGGTTTGATCTATCGAAGACTTCGTTGCTGCAAAAGAGAAATTCGTTCGATGTCTGAACCTCTCAGAAGTCGAACTGATTAACTCCCCTTTTTTCTAATTTTAATATCAAAACATATGAAATACATCGTACCATCTGATGATACAATATACTTGCAACAATGGAAGCCATTTTATTTTCTCTTAATATTTTTTATAGAAACTACTTGCACACTTAAATTAAAAAATCTGCAAAATTTGTGAAGTTTCAAGGTGCAAATTATACTCTTAAATTTTTTATTTTTAGTACTTCTGGCATACTTAAAGCGACATACTTAATCTGACATACTTAAATTGAAAAATTTGTAAAATTTGTCGAGTTGTAAACTATATTCGCGAATTTTTCAACAACCTTTCAGATGAATATTTCTACGGATAAACGATATCACATTTCTATAGAGATATCGATTTCATATCGACACTTTATTACATGTAATTCAAAATCATGATTCCGACGTGATACGAACATGGCGATGTGAAATTATCCATGACCTTTCGGGGTATAAGATGAATCAGTTAGTACTTTTAACTTATATTCCATGCTGGTATGACATGGAATCGATATGTAACAGTATGTAAAGATACCAGAAATCCGTGAATGACGCTCGATTACGATCGCTCGATCTTTGATCAAACCGTCGCATAAACGTTATGCGCTAACCGCTACTTTCTGTTATTAATGAAACGTGATAATTTTTGTTCCTTACTTTCACGATAGTTCCTTACTTTTTCATCAAATTCATATTTACATAGTGAAAATCGTACAATGTTGAATATTTTATTAATTTAGTAATACATTACAATCATTTAGGAAATACTTCTCGATTTACAGAATGTTTAATATACCATTTGATAAAAGATATTGTTAGAAATTTATTATTACCATTTACTACGACTTTGTCGATTTTAAAGTCGAACTTATCCAGCCCTGAAAAAGGCAATTAAATTACGAAAAATTTGTTTAGCGTATCTTCTTCGAAATTTCATTTCTTTTTCCTGTAACAAAAATTAACATTTTTGAATAATCTGCGATTAACAATTTCTCATAATTTTGCTGATATTCGTATCGTTTATGTGCTCTTTAAAAAGTTAAACTACGAAAAAAAGAAAACACTATTGCAATCTATAATTTAGCAATAAGATTTACAATTACAAAAAATTAAATTTTGTTCTTCAAGTGAACGACAAATTTTGACGATATAAGTTTTCCTCGTTCACGAAGTATTGCTTTTTAGCGTAACACGAAGTAGCACACTTTCATGTCAAGGTGATGTTAACCGTAACACCTACGTTTCGAATTACGAGTATCATTCTTTCAATTTTATTGCCGTCTGAATATCGAATAGATGGGTTCGAGTTGAAAAAATGTGAAAAATCGAGAAAACGATACGAAGGAAGGGCAGGTACTTGAAACTGTTTCAATAAAGAGTACACACGTGTACAACCTCGAAGTGTCGTGCATGCGATTATAAAAACGTGATCGAACAGAGAAATTAATTTTCCAAACAGAGTAATTAGTAGTGTGATTAACTGGCGTTCAATTACGACTGAAAGCAGTCACCGTTCGTGTAGATCTCGAAATTTTCTTTCGTTCGCATTAAATGTATCGCATGTATTCTTAATAATTGCCGTGGAGTATTTAGAAATGAATTTTAGAAATTAAATTGTTAAATAAAGAGATTTAGAAATTAAATTGTTAAATTAGGAGATTTAGAAATTAAATTGTTAAATTAGGAGATTTGGAAATTAAATCATTAAATTAGGAGATTTAGAAATTAAATTCCATTGCTAAAATTTTTTATTCACACGAACAACAGTAGGTTCTTAAGCAATGAAAAATTGCATAAAATTTTTTTGCAAAGTTTCATTCTTATTCAGTCTCGCGCCGCGCCGTGCAATTTTGAGCACGTTCTTTGTTATATACATTTCGTACAGCGCAGAAAATCCTCACGGTTGAGCAATCTAGTATAGAAATAAGCTTGAATAAAGAATTTTACGCATGGAAAATTCTTTTCATTTTTTCCCACGAGAATCTTCTTAAAAAAATTGCTAAAGACACCGAAATGTATTCTATTTTCAGTAAACTAGAAATTTTCTACTTTGTCACATTTCTTTTAATAATTTTAAACATAACAATTATTAGCTTGAAAAATGATTCCCTACTTTTCCCTATTTTCACAAAAACGTTACTTCGAATGGACCGTCGAGTGACAATCGCTCCGTTAAAAACAAAAGGGAATACATATTTCTAAAAAAAATCACAATACGAAACAATAATGATCTACTGTTAAAAAATTTGCAATATCTGAATCTAGTTCAATTCACTATAAAATTACTATTTTCACACAGGATGACGAGAAGAAAGCTGCTGCGCCGACTGTTAAGGTGAGGACACAGGTATTCCCTTATAATCAGTAAACTGTGGTGTGCGTTACTTTGTGAATTAAACGAGTTACGAAAGGAAAATAAGCACTTTCGCTGCTGCGCCAGGCGTCGGTGACTCATGCACACAGCGTTATATTAATTTTCTTTTATTATACTACGTGATATACGACGACGAGGCCTAATATTGGAAATTACATAATTTTTCGAACGAAAGAGCACACCTTTCCCATTCGATACGACAACAATTCTCAAATAAAAGTAACGATACATATATATATACGTATATTAATTAAAAATGGCCATTTTAATTAACCGAGGACATTTAAACTTCACTTGGATTATTATCCAAGGAACATTTTCGGAATATTCATCAGAAAATATCGCGTAATTGTTAATCAAAATTATTCGACCCAATTTTCATGTAATGTTATTTTTCTCTTTTCGTGCAGGACGAGGTTAAGAAAGTTGTCGATTTCATTTCCAAGGTATTTACGATTACTTCTTAATACGTACTTCGTTATTGGTAATTTATTACCGGGTGTTGCAATTGTTTCACGCATTCCGCGGAACTAAGAATTATTGTCGGAATTTTGTTCAAGTGTATTTTACCATTTTTCATTTTAATTGCATCGCCGTCAAGGTGTAATAATACGAGAGATAGTAATGGTGCAACGATTGAATTTTTACAATTTTTCTGAAAATTCTGTAAAAAAATTTTTTCGTTTGTTTTTTCCAAGTGAAAATAAAAATGACCGATTAATATTCGTCGACAGAAGGAGGAGGCAGCGAACGATGACGCGAAGAATACAACGTCCAAACTCCAGAAACGAAATTCGGCAAGCCTCACGATGGCAGAAAAATTTACCACGATCTTTGGCACAGTCGCCACGATGATCGCCACATTGACACTTACCTCTTAAAGAAAAAAAAACATATCTTTCATATGGATTTTACCATTGACTTTCCTAACTTCTTTTTTTCCAAAAATTTGCCGGAAATTTTCTTCTTTTTCTTTTTCGATAAAGCGTACACGCAAAATCTTTGATCGTTTTTCGAGTTTTGAACCATTTTTCTTCAACTTGGTTATTCTTGGATTTTGAAGAAGGACATTTGAAATTTCGAGAAGATTTCATCGAAGAAGGGTTTCGTAACTTCTTCACTTTCCCTCACTTCCACCTAATCTTCTTCTATTTCTTAAAGTGAACCTTGAGCAGTCACCGAGTACTTCGGATGATTTTCGTTGAAAGAAAATTTGGCGCTCTTTTGTTACAAATTTCAAAGGTACAGATAGTAGCGAAACAAAATATGACGGTCAATTTGTTGCGTTTTCCCATGTGTCTACCAAAATTGTAATTTCTACGATAAATAAATCTACGTTAAAATTTTCAAGCCGTCGTTGAATAACATTTGTACGTCGATTACAAAGTTGGAACAATTTTGATCGTGATAGAAGAAGAAACGAATTCGTGGAAACTTGAGAATTATCTATGCTTGAAAACCGCGTTTAACAATTAAACACCTGTCTGGTAATTAACATGACGACCTAATTGCGTTAGATTGACATGCATAATCAAACGATTTTACACAAACGTACGTAAGCAGGATGCAATTTGTGGATTACGACAATGATTTCTCGTTAACCTAGTAACGCACATAAATTTATTGTAGACGTAACATAACGGCCGTTGGTGATTTCGAAAGGAAAGCATTTTGATGATTATCAGGGCAAACATACGATGTACTACGCGCAGCCACGTTACTTCCTGCTCTTAAATTACATAATTCTTCGATTTCAGAAGTTTCTAAAATTCGTCTAAATTTCATTGCTTTCCATCGTTTTTCTAATTAACCAGCTATTACACTTCTTCCCTTTTCCGCTATTTTCTTTTTCTTCTTTTCGTTTTCATTTCATTTTCGACATATTAGACATTTCTTTTTAATTCGACCAGCACCGATGGAAACTCGTATATTTATTTACTATTTATTATTTATTTATTGTGTCAAGTCATGGGATAATTTAAATTAGCGACAATTACTGTCAAGTAACGACAATTAGTGAAAGAAGAAATTTAAGCACGAGATGTTTCGAAACGTTTCTTAAGTATCGTTACGTTTTTACGTTTATTGACGTTAACGCTATAATCGCTGTGTAATAAAAATAGCCACTTCTCGTTTTTGTTACTCTTCCTTCGGCCATTGCGATAAATAAGACGACACGGATGCTTATTCGCGATACTTTTTTTGCGGCACAAGCTCTTTTCCAGTGAAGAAGAACTTCGCTTAAATGCTTGAAAAGGCAATTCTTCTGAAAAACGAAAGAGCGATGGTACTTCGTAATAGTAATCACCTTTTAATTGAAGCATTGAATAAAAGTAGAAATTGGTAAAATTAAAGAAACTTATTATCAAAATTATTTTTACGCTTATTCTACTATTTTGATACAAAATATCAGTGGTCGTGTTACTTTCTATTAACAACAATGTGTATTTAGCACTTTCTTTGCAACAGACAAAAAGTGTAAGTGATGCAAAGGTTACCGGAGGTCGCCATTTTACTTTCTAATATCGTTGCCAAAGATGTCATCTGCTAAAGTTCAATCGTCATAAAGGAAAGAGCATTCTTGTTTCGCATTAATGCGAGAATTGAGTGTATAAAAAGGACGCAAACATTTTTCACGTCATTGGCAATTATTTGTGATTAATGATATTTTGCAATATCCAGCCTGGTGCAATGTTCAAGCGATCTGTTCGATATAGTATATTGTCGATTAATTGTTAATTAAAAGTAAATAAATCTGCGTATTTTTGTCATTTTCACCGATTATCTTGTTTGCCGAAAGGAATATTGCGAATTATGCGACACTTCGTGCTCTGTTACTCTAAACTGATTTCGCTGCAATCAGGATTACTCCGAACGACATGTGCACAGGAAAAAAAATTCTAAGGCAGACTGATATGAAAACGCAGCGAGACAGGAAAAGAACCTGTCAAGCAAGAGGACTGCGTCCAGGAAAACCTGATTCGATCAAGTGTCGCATGGTTTATTTGATCATTTGAAATACGGTGTGGTTGTGATTCAGAAAAGAAACTCAGATCTGTCGCGTAACTTCATGAAACGGGGCTTTTTAACTTTAAAATGAAGAAAGAGTGCCGCATAGACGAGGAAAATTAAAATGTATCCTGTTTCATTCGAGCATTTATCGAACGAGTTGAATTTAAACAGTGCACATGCTCGACACATGCATATCGATAATCAAATTTATAACACTGGTGGACCAATTTTCTTTTTTAATAAAGAAGAATATAATGTATAGTATATATAAGAAAATTTGGAATATTAATAATATCGAAAGTTAAGCCAAATTTTTCTTCTAATAGAGAAGAACGCAGTATAGTATTATTATAACATGTAATAAATTTTTAATAATAATACAATATGTAACCAAATTTTCGATATTAATAAATCACTCTTTCTTCTAATAAAAAAATATATATATGTGTAATGTATGAATGTATTTTACATAATAATAATTTTTACAGCACTTTTCATCCAACAAGAAGAAATGAAAAAAGAAAAGAAAACTCAATATTTCACTTGAAATATTGCCGAAATAGTGACCCAAAGACATGAAGCAAAAAATCTAACAAAAACAAGTAACTAGAACTCATCCTAGTTACGAGTGCATGTTTAGCCCTTTAATGTCCTCACAATTATTTTAAAAATTTGTCATCTATCTACCGATCATCGCGTCAGTGACGAATACTAAATTGAGATCAATGTTTGTACCAATACTGCTGGTCACCAAAGGGTTAAGGAACAAACATAGACACCGTTACCCAATGAGCACCTGCAACAATCATCCACCCGAGACCAGAATAACCTGGTCACAGGCACAGGTGCCTGATTAACCCTCGAACAGGGTAGAAGATCTATTCGGACAACGTGGACAGTCGGTGGTTACCAAACTTGACGAACGAAAGTTGAAGGTGTCACCGAAAAAGCGTGTCCACTTTGCCGGGCATCTGAGTATCGATTGTGTCCGGGTTTTCTTCGTTCCTTGTGACTCGTGAAGAGAAAATCGAGAGTGGGGCATCTCACGATATAAAGGAGAACCGGTCCAAGAGGTAATCGTTCCCACTCCATCGACCGTTCTCCACCTCTTCGGTTCGTCGCACGAGTTTCTTGCATTTCTCTTTCCGTGACCGGTCGTGGCTGCTCGTCGTCGTCGAACGTTCTTCCCCGATCTCTTTACGCCACTGTCTTCAGGATCGACGTATCGTCGCTATCGATCAAGGTGAGTCGATAAAGTTAACAATTTTCGTAGCTCCTCCGGTGGACCAGGTTCAAGTTGTACTTGTCGTTTAGTTAAGGAAGAAGTTAGTAAGAGATGATTTTGGTAATGCTCGATTATCCTCGAGTTCGTTGATCTTCCTGAGATTCTGATCGCTATCGAACGATCGCCGGTCTTTGGAGATTTCGTGGTCGTTGTGGATACTGGATACTGTTTTACCGTTCAGTGATAAATCGTTTCTTTTGGGATTTGGTGATTGTCCTTGGAAGGAATTTTAGTTGATAACGAGAAGAAAGGTTTCGCGATTGAAAAGAGTAATGTTGAATGATTGCTGAATGAAGGCGAAATAACTGACAGTGAAAGGACGTTGGTTCTTGGATTCTGGAGTTTTTGGTCGTTTTTCTTGGGCAAGGTAAAAAGCGGTATCGACAGTATCCATGAGATTACACTTTCTTGGAGTGAGTGTTGTAACTCCATTGAAGTTTGGAACTTAAAAGTAAGTGAAATTTGAGAGGGCCGGGGTAAAAAGGGGCTTCGGACTTTTGTGGAACTGCTGGTAGCTGAAATGAGGAACTAGTGGAATTAGAAAGTGTTTTCAACTTTTTTCGAGAGCTGATTTCAATTTTCTTCCGAGGTGAATTACAACTGAAACTAGAAACTCTTCGAATTTTAAAGTAATTCTTCTCTTTGAAGAAACTACTTTTTCAATTTCTCCTCCAATTAGGAACAAGCGAAATTGGGAGTGTTTAAAAATTAGAAAGAAATTCAATTTCCAAATAATTTGGTCGATTAAAGTTACGAGAAATATTTTCAACAAAATATTCGATTCAACCTCTTTCGCGTAATTAACCGCGCTTTAAATCCGAAATGATTGAAGTTAAAAAATAATTCCAATTTTCTAAGAGACTTTCGCGATCTAAGAGCGAAAGCAGCTCGAAACCGAAAAAAAAGCAATTTCAATCTCCCCTTTACAAAATCGCTTCGACTAGAAAGCAAGCGAGTAGTCTCTTCGTGAAAGTGGTGCTTACATTTTCAATAATTTTGCGATAATCGCGATTCCCGTTTACGCAGCAACAACTTCCACGTTTTGAAATAACGCTTTGAACTTTCCTTTTGATCTCCGCGACGCGACGACGCCGTTTCGTTCAACAAAATTGATTGCACCACCGCGGTTCTCTCCGTTGCAACCTAACCTGTATCTGAAACATGGGTTCTGTTACCGTTTTCAGCCAGCAAAAGCAGCGTGTCGCTAAATTACGTAAGAATTTGTACGTAAACTTCGTTTGAGGTAAACATCATTGGTAAAAACAGAACAATGACAATGTTGAGGTCGCTTATTTTTCTCATCTGGCTCGGCCATCCAGTTCCTATAGTTCAAGTTTATTTCAGTCATCATCGCCTCCAGGGCAAATTATGCGTCTGTAATTGCGTTTTCTTGCGGTACTCTTCGTCTGGCGATTCAATGGATTTTTTTGATCTATAGAAGGAACGAGCGAAAGATTTTTTTGGAAAAATCAGTGTAATAGGTCAGTTTGGTAAAGTTAGCGTGAAGCACAGAGTAGAGGCAGCGTGGTTTTGAGAAACAATAACGTAGAATTATGTGGAATTATATTAAGCGTTGCTGTACAGATTTATTGGCTGTTAAATGCATTTTATTTGAAATTACCTGTCTACTCTCGATTATGGAAATCACGAAATCCTATCAAATTGTTATGTACAGAATGTCCCAATTTTTTCTGATCAAATTTTGTCAGCATGTTCTATGGTTACAGTTTTCTTCTTCTTCTTTTAAGGTCTAGCTTTCTTCTTCTTCTTTCGAGTACTATAGTTAATATTTCTGATTGGAATTTTTCGATAGTAACATTCGTTAATGTTCACCAACTTTCTTCTTCGTTTCTTCCTTCACTTGGTTCCCATTTCTCGTTGAAGTTTTTCAATAGCTATCACTGATTTTCGGTTACTTTCTTCTTCCTTTCTTAGGTAACATACCTCTCTTATCGAATAAAATTTTTACTAATTTTCAACAATTTTTATACCACTCCTGTTTAATCTTCATCAGTTTTCTCCAATTTTCTTCCTCTTTTCCTAAAGCAATACGTATGACTGAGACGACTGAGCAGAGTGTCTCGTGTTTCTCGTTGCTTAGTTGAATTTCTGTAACTAATGGAGAAATTTCGGTGAAATGGAGATCGAATTCACGGTCGATTCAGCAAGTTCCAATGGTGTATGACCATTCGTCTGATTACTGTGTCACGTCCACAAGTCGCCTTTCCATCGCGTTGCCCAATTTAAGGTTCTATCAAGGACGCTATTTGGCAATATGTTTCATTTTTGTGGTACACGAGCAGCGTGACTCTTTCTCCGCGAGAAAAACGAACGCGATCTTTGATTCTCTCTGACACTGTTAGATTCATCAACGACGATGACCAATGACTAGCTTTAATCCACCGTGACTCGTATTTTTGGACCTTTTCATAAAAGACGAATGCCGTACATTTACTCGGTCATCGATTGAGTTCGTTGATATATTTCATGCTACGAGAAGTCGAAAAAATTTTGCAGAATTTAAAAGAAAAATTGACAAATTATATTTAGACATTTAATTTCGAAGAAATAATGGTGGTGTTGAATTTCTCACACTTTCGTCTTCCTTTGTGACCATTTTGCTGAATAGAAGAATTTTTAGATTTCTTCTTTTTTTTTTGAGAATTCTACTTTTTGTGATTATTCTGTAACGATAGGAGAGCAAGATGTCAGTTTCGAAAGAAAAATTTCATAAAAAGGAATTCTACAAACGTGATTTTCGCAAAGGCATATTTTAAGCGTCCTTTCGTTAAGGAAAAAAGTGCCTACTCATTAGGCGGCTGTGTTGACTGAACTTTCCGGCGAACGTGGAATTTTGCGCGGAAATATTGTCGCGAGTCAGTGATTTGGACGACAGTAATTAAGTGTAAAAAATAGACACGCAATTGTTACTCTCTAAATCTGTAGATGTAAATATTTATGTACACTAAGTTGTACAAATTACAATATTTATTAGATTTTTCAATTATCTTCTTCGTTGAGGAATTTTCGTTATAAGATCATTTAGAAATTTTATTGCGATTTTTGCAAAAAGAAGGATTTAGTAAATTAACGATTCTATTGAAATATCAAGAATTTTGTTAAACGATTTCAAAAAGCAATTAACGTTTACAACAGTGAATATTACAGAACCAAGGAAAAATGAAGAAAAGTAAAATCCTTTCTATGTTATCCTTCATTTTAAAAATAGTATTTCAATTGTAAACTGATTAATCCTTGACTTCCTAACTAATTATACAGCGGCTAGTTTTCAATGCAAATCTCGTAAACAAATACACTTTTTGTTCTTCTGTGCTTCTGCGGAGAATGTTTAACCTTCATCACAGTTGAAGTTTCATTGAACGTCTGACATTGAATTCGTGTGACGTGACGAAGAAATGGACTTGCAAGGTATTCTTATTCATGTCATTGTTCATCGCCACGTTTGCGACTAAAAATAGTCTCTTTGTAGTAATTCATTCATTAGGAAACATTACTTTCTCCGTTTTTCCTTCAGTTTCTTCTTATTTATTTAATAAGTATATTATCTATTTCGTTTATTTTGCACTTTACCGA